ACGTACTCAATTCTTCAAGGGAAAAGATATTTTTCTTTTATTCTATTTAAAAGAAATCGACTATATCCAGACTCTGATAAAATAGACAGAACGATCTACAAAATATCCCAATCCTTCTTTCCCTTCCATCTTACGATTCTTCCTTAATTTTCGCAATCTTCTCTTTCCTTTTACAATCCTTTCCAAACCTCTCCCCTTCCTAATTTCCCTGCCCACCTCTTTCCTCCTTTCACCCCAATTTCCTTGACCCATGATCGTCCTCCTCCTCCTCCTCCTCCTCCACCACGTCCGCTCTAACATTATCAATCCACGGGATCTGTGTTGGGATGGAGGGCCACGCACCCTTATCGGGAAGGAAAGGGATTGGCGAGGAGGAGGCGGAGGGGGCAAAGTCTCTCCCGATAGAAAAATACGGGTGGTCGTTCGGGTGAAGTATTTCAATGAATATGAAAGCGACGGCCGCGTAATCCGGGCCAAATTTATCTGACCTCCTCCTGGATATATCCACCCTCGCGCTTGACCCCCACGCCCCACTCTCAGACCGGATAACGTATCGAGGCTCCTCGCCATCGCCGAGGCGGCCATTCGTTTTTTCAAACGCGCGTGTATCACGCCTTGCCACGCAACGATTGATATACGCGACTATACGCGTAACCCTTACGATCCATTCTCGAGGGGGGAGAGAGAAAGGGAGGCAAACGAAAGGGATATTATGACGCTTAACCACGTCGAAACCGTGTCGCTCGATATGGATATATCGGATTTTCCAATTTGGGTCAATTACTTTTTCGCACAGTTGTAAACTAACGGATTGACGGTTTTCCTTTCATCGTAGCCGTTTTCATTATTCGTACGAGGATCGAGTTTTAAAAGATTCGTCTCAGCTTCGTGAATATATTTTTATATTAACATTTTAAATTTCGTCGCGGAATAACTTCTCGAGTTTAACTCCTTTAATTTTCCCAAATAATACAACAAAAATCCGCGACGAGTAAAAGGGGAGGGAATATATATCCTTTCCTCTGCGTGCAAATAATCTGATTTAACCTACTCCTGTTTTTAAACAAACATACCAAATTTCGCAGAATATGGAAGAATCGATAACTCTTCCGATTTCTAAAATAACTCGAATCGATCGCAATGGAAGAGAGAGATAGAACCATTCCTCTCGCTTATGTAAAACGTCGATATGATTGATGGACCGTCGACGTGCCCACGAACAAATTGGATCCTCGATTTCTACTCGAAGAAGAAGAAGAAGAAGAAGAAGAAGAAGAGGAAGAGGAAGGAAAAAAAGGGGGGTACAAACTCGACGCGTGGGGGGAGAAGGTGGCACGATTTGTCGAAGGAATACGTCTGTCGACAGCCTGCTGCTACACAGGGCCGTTCCTCTCCACGAGAACTCGATGATTTTACCGTTGCCAGGCACGTCGTCGTCGTCGTCGTCGTCTCGTCATCCCCGTCGAATCCTGGATTTTCGGCATTCTCCCCTCTCCCCCGCCTTCTCTCGTGATTTTTCTCTCCTCCTTATACCCAGGGCGAGGGGGCGCGTCATTGTTTACAGGCACCTGTATGTACGTACATATATAACAATGTCACGCACACACCACGCCCTCGTTTATTTCTTTTGTTCCGCGTCGCAGCGAGGGGTTCGAGGCACGGTTCGTGGCTCGATTGCCTGGTTTCGACAATCGGGCGGACGTGCAAGATCGGGACGATAAACGCGAACGAAGGCAGATAGGAACCGTGCCGAGGCCGATACTCCATATATATATATATATGAAAAAGGTCAAGGGAAAAAAGGAAAAAAGGAAAAAAAAAGGGAAAGAAAGAAATAGATACTCTTTTGTGGACCGTTTCCATAGGATGGAGGGGTTTACGTAATGGGGGGAGGGATTTTGTTTGGTTTCCTTGCTCGTAGATATCTATCCTTTTTTTTTCTTTCTTTCTTTTTGTTTGGTTTGGAAGGATACGAATGGTGGTGGGGAGGTATAAGTTCTTTCTAGGTGATTGGTATTGTGATTTATTATTGGAGCATTATGAATTGAAAAGTGTTATAGTATTTATTGCTAACTATTTTGAAATATCAAAGTGAGAAGAATGGAATTTTATATAGTGAAGGATAAGATTTAATAATTATGGAGGCCTGTTTTAAGAATATCTATCCTTCTTTTCTTTTTCTTTTTGCTTAGTTTGGAAGAATATGTATGGTGGTAGAGAGATAACTTCTTAGGTGATTGGTATTGTGATGTATTTACTATAGTATTTATTGCTAACTATTTTGAAATATTAAAGTGAGAAAAATGGAATTTTATATAGTGAAGGATAAGATTTAATAATTATGGAGGCCTGTTTTAAGAATATCTATCCTTCTTTTCTTTTTCTTTTTGCTTAGTTTGGAAGGATATGTATGATGGTAGAGAGATAACTTTTTAGGTGATTGGTATTATGATGTATTTACTATAGCATTTATTGCTAACTATTTTGAAATATCAAAGTGAGAAGAATGGAATTTTATATGATGAAGGATAAGATCTAATAATTATGGAGACCTGTTTTAAGAATATCTATCCTTCTTTTCTTTTTCTTTTTATTTAGTTTGGAAGGATATGTATGGTGACAGGGAGATAACTTCTTTCTAGGTAATTGGTATTGTGATTTATTATAGTATTTATTGCTAACTATTTTGAAATATCAAAGTGAGAAAAATGGAATTTTATATGATGAAGGATAAGATCTAATAATTATGGAGACCTGTTTTAAGAATATCTATCCTTCTTTTCTTTTTCTTTTTGCTTAGTTTGGAAGGATATGTATGATAGGGAAATAACTTCTTAGGTGATTAGTATTGTGATGTATTTACTATAGTATTTATTGCTAACTATTTTGAAATATCAAAGTGAGAAAAATGTAATTTTATATAGATGATGATGAATTATGAATTTGAATTTGTCCAGATCTAATATGTAATTACAGAATTTGTATGAATAGAGTATATATAATTATAAAGCGATAAATTGATAGGAGTCAATTAATTATCCCCATTATTTTTAACTTTTTAACTCGAATAACTGGAGTTCTTGCATATAGCTTATTCTTCGGATTATATCTGTGCGTTAACCCATTGTATTACGTGTATCTCTGTTCATATAATTAATCATTCATAGCAGACATTCATAATTGGAGCTCAGTTAAAATTCACTTAATTGGATATTGATGAAAATTTCGTTCGTGATAAGTAGACAATAAATAGATAAAATTTTCACTGTGATACGTTATATCTATATATATATACACAATAAGAAACAAATCTTTATCTTTCATTTAACTAACTATAATCAAAAATATAATTCCCAACCCGATATTATCCAAATTATCTTTCTTCTTTTAACCCTCCTCGTCATTTATTCCTCGTAAAGAAAAAAAACTCTCCGATATTTTTGACTTTTACTGACTTTACAATTCCCTTTTATTATCCAAATAAATATTTCATTTTTCGCGCCCAATCGAAAGAAAAGAATCCCCAAAGAATACGATATCCAAAAAGGAAGAAAAAATTTTCTCGACCTTATGACATTTCTTATATTTTTCGTCGCCCATATTTTCGCCCCGATTCACGAAACGAAACGGGAGAGAAACGCTCGATTCGAACGCTCCTCGATCGTTTCCCTCCCCCCGAGCCCTCCCCCACGAAGATAAAGAAGAGTTCCGCGTAACAATCGGCCGCCAATTTTAACGACGAAACTTGCGGCCGAGCTTTCCATTATTTCGCCGCGTGTACGGAACTCTTGTTTGGGAAGATAATAACGAGGCCGCGGCATCGTATAACAATTTACCGGCTAATCGAAAAACTTTTGTTAAGACCGAAACTTTGGTTAATTAGCATCTTTGGCGGACCGCGGATGCTTACCTTGTGGCCACCGTGCGGAACCACCGACCGGAAATACCACCAGCTGAAGAGAAGAAATTGCACGATAGGGCTTTCTTATTATCGATTCGCCACTCCACCAACGGGATCGACCCTTTTATCTCTTTGGCTCCAATTTCTCTGCGATATCGGCACGCTTCTTCCCTCTTCTTCTCTTGTTCGAGCTTGTTGTTGACAATTGCAGTTTCGCATTATCGAAGTTTCGAGTCGAAGTTCGGAGAGCTTTTTAATTTTTAGATCAATTTTTCGTAGATCTTGAGTAATTTATAAGGTTGAGAGAGGAAAATAAGAAAAATTAAGTTTCGAAATTCTCGAATTAAAAATGAATTTCGATTATTCCGCCCCTCGTTTATTTTATGCAAATTCACGACAGCGCGAGCCCGTGCTCCGATCTGTCACGAATAATTGCCTCCCTCGTTTTTCCATCGTTTAATATTCAAAAAAATTTGATCGATCCGACGCAATTGGGGGTCGCATTGGATTGTTTTTTTTTTTTTTTTAAATTATAATTCATTAGATTCGTCCTCGTCGAGATGATAAAAATTAAATTTTTTCCTCCTCGAAAAGGACGAAATTTTCGACAAAACGATTTAATTTATATAAGAAAGAAGAGAGAACAAATAAATCTTGTTGGTTAAAAATTGGGGAGGATGTGGCAACAATCAAAAAACACACATACGCTCCTTTAAATTAATCCGTTTTATTCCTTTCAAGGCATTATAGATATCCAGGGAATAATCTCTGTCTCATATATATATATCATTCTAATAAACATGAACAATAATAAATATAACGTGTCCAAGAAAGTAGGAAGTTTTCTTTTCTTTTCTCTCTCTCTCTCTCTCTCTCTCTCTTTTATAATCAAATTGCACGATACAAAATAACGCGTTCGCGTAATGGCATACTCGACGAACAACACTCGTAATCGTCATTCTCAAAAGACACCATTGATCTACCCATTTCTCCATTATTCGAATATTCGTGAAAAAGAAAAAAAACTAAAAGAATCCTCTCCCCTTCTCGAACTATTTTCTCCCCCCTCAGTTTCTCTCTCGCTCCTCGCAATTATATGTTTCGAGAAAAAAAAGAGACTTTCCTTTTCGGAGGGAAAAAAACAGAGAAAACTTCCTCGTGGCGCACGATTCATCAGCGAAATACGCATTTATCTTTTTCTCTCTCTTTTTTATTATCGCTACGAGTCACCACCACTCGAATCGCACGATCAAGCTGTCCCATATTTTTTTTACTCGTCTTCCTTCCTCCCCCCCTATTTTCCACGTTTTCAACGTTTGTTTCCTTCCTCTCTCTCTCTCTCTCTCTCTCACTCTATCTCTCTCTTTCTCTCTCTCACTCTTTTTCTCCAACAAAGGGGGACACGGTAACGCAGGGAAAATAGATAGTAACATCTCCGAAATAGTAATTCGTTCGCGTAGCATTGTTCCGAGATCGACGGCCGTGTATACGTGTTCGCGTGGGTGGAAGGGAGAGAAAGGATCCATCGAGAATAGCTGGACCGGAATACATAGTCGAACTGCCTTTCGTTTTTCGAGGATCGCTCGACGGTTGAACCGTGGAAAAATTCGAAATATCGACGGATCCCGCTTCCCTCTCCGCCTGGTGCCGCCGGAAGTGGCTGCCGCCGCTCCATGTTATGTATACGTAATGTGGGTCGATGGGAATTGAAATCGAAATGCGTCGACGCGCGAGTAATTATTATGCGATTACGCGACAGGTATAAGGCCCGTCTTAGATAAAACGTTCTCTCTAGCGTTTCGAAATATTTGACGGCTTTTTCTTTTTTTTGATACGTGTAATTGTAACGAATCGACGAGGATAAATTGGATTTATCTTTTAAGGATTTTCGATCGTTGTAATTAACGTTATGTCGTCACACGGTTTAATTTGCAAAAAGAATGATACATAATGTGTAAAATTATGACGATTTTCGATCTTTCTAAATACGGTTTTATCGTCGAAGAAATCAATATCTGTTTCGACGTAAGCTTTGAAGAAAGGAATTGGGATATCTTGATATCTTTTCGAAAGAATAATCGTTTTTCTCGAAATTCAATTTGAAGAAATGTATTGCAACAACTTTTTGTGAGCTTTGAAAAGGGATAGAATTATTATCGAAAGAGTGAAAAGTTGCTAGGTAGAACGTGTTAACTAAGAAGGAGACGCGGAAAAAAGTGTGGTAATGGTCTCGAGTAATGGGACGACGAGTTTATGAACCTGCAATTAAGATAAAAGATTATATGGCGTACGGTGTACGAAGTTGGCGAGGGCAATCGTTTTACAATCGATTCGATGAGGTAATAGGGGAACTTTGCCACGCGTGTGTTACATTGATCATCTAACATCTATAGAAACTTGAAATTTATTAAAAATAGGACATTCGATCGTAAAGGTACGCGTATAATAAACTAAATTGGAAATAATATTTATATAAAGTTCGAGTCTCTCGAGTTCGTGTAAAATATTACATCAAACAATAAACGTATACTTTTAAGTTTATTCAATTCAATATAATTTAATATAATATAATATAATATAATTTAATATTAATTCTAAATTGTGAAAGATCGTTAAAGAAGCTCGTTAAATAAAATCTTTGATTTCGACGATATTCGCTTGTCGCGATATATATACTTCAATCATATTCAATAATAACACGTTGTGCATATATATATATTGTATTATTGACGCGTTGACAGTCATGTCATCTCGCCATTAAAGGTTAATGGCGTATTATTATTCTATTTTTACAATATGTTTCTTCTTTCCGATTGTATACACCTATTCAATCATACATTAAATTTCGTACACTCTATGAAAAAGCCATTCCTGATGACATATTGTGAACATATTTTATATATGTACAATGAAGATATATAAGCCAATACTTTAACTCTGATCAAAATTCACAATGATATAACAATCGTCTATATATGGATGAGATATACATATTTTCTTAATAAGATGAAATTTTGAATCAGATTTCAATAGCTATAATACTGAATTGTACATTTGAGAGTGACTGAAAGTGATTATTCAAGAGTAATTTTGAAATGAAAAAAATGCAGAACATTAAAGTTACTTGCATAAATAAATCTTATTTACAGTTTCCATCCAATTGAAATATTGTATATTGAATATTAACATATATATTAAATAAATATTTTTTATTCTGTCTTTTTGTAGAGTGTACGAATTTGATCTATCGTGTTATAAACCATCAATTGACTGTTTATTCGATTATTCGAACCATTGCATAACTTTTTTAATTATTATTTATTTAATTATTATTTCCATTGACAAGGCAGCCAACGCGACTAATACATTCAAAGTGCAAAGTAAAGATCGAACATTTCGAAGAATACTAATCGCATTTAAGAGAAGAAATCGTAATCGACTAGGAGAGAAACATCGACACAAAATGGAGTACGCAATAAACCGATCGAACGATCGATGTCTCGACAACCTTTTTTCCCGCCTATTATCCTTCGTCACGTAATTCTATCGTTTACACGCGTCTAATTTTACTACACTTTTATTTTACACACTCCCGATTAATGCCTATGTACATCGTTCGAAATATGCTCATTTGAATCACTCTGGCTTGTTTCTAAACGAAAAAAATCACTCTTGAATTGGAAAAAAAAGATGATATTACACGAAACGAGTATAAAACCATCAAAAGTTTCTAGATTCTAGAATCTAAAAAGAACAAAGTATTAAATACAACGAGTAAAATGGCGACCAAAATTAACCATTGTCAGTTTTAATCTGTCGTAATTTCCTTTCTAATATAGATAAATTATTGTTAATGGATCGAATGATAAAATGTTAATGAATACGATATTTTCTTCTTAACTAACTTAATAAATTAATATTAAAATTTCAAACATTTATTTTATTGAGCAATATCGATCTGATTAAATCGTGAAAGCGAAGGAACTTGAATATCTCATTGATGTTTCGTTATGAGAGTAACTATATATAAATAGATTAATGTGGTTACGATGTAAAATGAATGAAAATCAAAATTTTAGCTTAAGATCATCGAAATATGCCTAAGTTTAACTAACAATGTTACTTGTGACATTGAGGACAATTATCTAAAAATTTTGATCGCTGATTTAATAGAAACTTAGAAATATCGAGTATTCGTTTAAGCGATTGATTAAGTAAGGGAAAAGCATTTGAGAATCGAAGGTTTGACGAAATGCGCAATTCGCAATTTCTTCGATGCCCTCTTTTGCAAGCGTGATCACGCTCGAAAGTGATCGATTGCGTAACATCTTCGTAACCTTTAGGATTACGAGCGAATGAAACTTACGAGCGATAGAATACCGAGTGATAGATATCGTTTAATCGTGCGAGGAAAATATCGTTGAATTACACCGATTGTGCGTGTATGTGTATGTGTACGTGTTGTTGTACAGAGAGAAAAAGACTCGAAAGATTTGATTCTGTGATTTTTCAGGTGTATGTAGCAAATATACAAGGATTCTAGAAAAGATAAGAACGCTTTCACCGGAATCAGTTCACGAGTTGACCCAATGTTTGTGATTTAATATTAAAGATTTTTGGTATAGAAAGGCGTAATTTCTCTTTTCGTTTCAGAAAATACTTATTTCTAAACGTTAAATGTTAAAAGGAAGACAACAAACATAGGAAATATATTATATTTATATATATATCTAAATTGATATTATTATTAATTATTATTGCGTGTGTATTATACAGGATATTGCAAATTTCAAAAAGTAAGGAACGGATATTGAAAATTCATTTTGATATATAATTTAATAAAATTCTAGTACAACTAATCATCATTCAATATTTACATTGCGTAAATTATTAATCCTTTCGCTATGAAAAGGGTATATTAAAAATATCACCATTTGCAATAATATCTGCGCAATATCACATAGTTGTATATATACCGAAAATAAAATTTTGTAAGGAAATAAGTTTTACCAAATTATCATTTTATTGACAAAACGTACACTTAATAATTAACAAAAAAAAGAAAAAACACAAAGTTTCAAGTTTACAACCATTTTTTTATATCCAGCTTTCGATTAATTATAAATAAAAAAAAATCAAAAAAACTTAAACAACCATGCATATATTTCTTTTGGAACAAAAATTGCTCTCAGCGAAAGGA